GTCTGACCAAATGGGAAATGAAGTATGAATCTATATGGATCTACAGGGATTTGCATCTCTTTTGTGCGATGTTTTATGTCTGTTGTCCTCCACATCTTGAACATCCTATTGCACAGAATAACCCATCACAAGATATTACGCCTTTCCCTGCCTCTAACACACCCGCTGACTCCTACACAAACGGTGAAGGGAGAAACTAATATGTCTTGTCTCCTTTCGCGTTGGTTGTAAGAAATCCAGCCGACTGGGCAGAATCCCCCAGGCGACTGATCCCAAAGTGATTTTGTGGTATGCATTTGTCATTTTTGGATGGTTCATTCAAGGAATCTTGGTAATTTGTTTGGAACGCCCCTTTGACATAGCCCGGCAAGTCCAGATTGTTTCCACGCCTTTTAACATCTTACAAGACTACAGACTACAGACGAACGACGACTCTGTGGTGAGGAATGGCAACTTCCTCTTGTCTGATGTTCGAAGATCAGCAACAACGGTTTTTGATACAAAAACAGTAGCCATCTACCAAGACAAAAGCATATAATCAATGCAGCATAAACATATCACACACAGAGAGACGCAAACACACACAAAGACACGCAAAAACCACCGTCATCTTTCGCATCTTTGGCCCAGGTACAGCGGTCAAACAATCGCGAACGGCTCCATACTCATCCCGAAGCTCGTGGAAGTCCTGACCAAGAATTAAGCAGACTATTGAATTAATTCTAATAGCTTCTTTGTTACTACTAGTAAGGCACCTGTTACTACTAGCAAGGCACCTGTTACTACCTACCGGCTCCATTCTTGGAGATTCTTGGCACTGAAAGAACTTTGCAAATCAAGTAAGTCCAAAATCATCTTTGCGGCACCGACATTGCAGTGAACACGTGACATGAACATGACCCATAACTCATCGCAACTCACTGGTTCGCGCCGAAGAGGGGAGTCAGCTGAATCAGCGGCAGCCGAACCGGAATCAGCAAAATCAGCCACATCAGCTCTCATCATTTCCCCCAAAACTGCAGGTGTTTTCCTTGTTTTGATTCATTGCTATGCATTTGACGGAGGGGCAGCCCACAGACCTCGGTGCGGACTGCTCACGTTCCGTGCTGGGCCGAAACACCGAGGGCCTCCGTCAGGGTCTCTCCCGGTGAACGTTGGTGAGTCTCGGCCAAGATCGGGGACCAATTCACCAGTATTTGAGAATGGCCTGAAACAAAGTCCAAAAAAACACCGCCTTTACTGAACAACAACACAATAAACATCGAAAACAGGGAATTCCATGGCAATATGGTCATCCTGACGCACCACTGGACGCGAACGGGAAAACAACGGAACTTGGGAAAACAAGTTTTGACGTTGCTGGCCAACTCTGACTTCAAGGGATTTGTGCGATCAAGTGAGAAAACAATCGAATGTTTCAGGGCGTTAAAGGTTTTTCAACTCTCCCCCGGCTGTTCCCAAAACTGCAGTCAATTGTTCAAAAGGCCGATGAAGGCCAGTTGTCAGAAAAAATATGAGCGAGCTGGAAACAATCTCGATGCCCAAATCAAAAGAACAGGAAACAAACCCACATGTCAAGCTTTCTTTTGCATCAAACAGGATGCAAAGACGGAAGGCAAAGGAGTGATAGCAAATGAGGAGAAACGGATTGGATGGCGTGATGTGTGAGGATGTGTGACTGTGAGGATTGTGTGATGTTTTCAAGCAGGTAGATGACGATGATTGCATGATAATTGCAAATTTATAGTGATTCATGTGATCTTCATATATGGGTTGTGAAGCCCAAGCTACACACCCAATCCGAGCTGATTGGTGTCAGTGTGTTGTGCCAAACAGCAGTTTGTGGTGCACGAACCGGCTCCATCTCGAAAATATTTGCGAAGTATAAACTTTCTGGGATTCCATGCAGTGGTTGATGTGTTGGGTGAGTTGAGTTGCATAAGGTAGGGTGGTATGAGTCGCATTTGCGAGTTGGGTTGGTGTGAGTTGAGCTGGGTGTGTTGGTGCGAGTTGAGAAACAGCAGCGGAGGAGCGGTGGCGACCAAGGGAAACCAGCGCGGACCCGCCGCAACAGTAAAGCCCCTGGAGAGCAGCAGCAAGCAGCGGAGCTGAGGTGCGTGAGTTGAGTTGGTGTGACTTGAGCTGGGGCAGGGGTGCGTTGAGTTCGTGTAAAGTGTCGCTACTAGGTGGAGGCCATCGCTACTAGTAACAAGTGCATTTTTACTAGTAGCAAGAAGCTCCTATGAAACACACCGTTTGACTTGGTTTGAGTTGGTATGCGGGAGGCTGGAGGAGGTGGAGAATGGCCGCGGTAGTAGCAGGGTAACGAGTATGAACAAATAAGAACCCCACACTGGCGTGTGGGGACCAAAAAACAGCCAAGAAGTTGCCACTTGGACGTTGCTGAGAGTTTCATGCGGGTTGCCCATCGCCAAAAAACACCTGTCAGCTGTACTGACGCAAAAAAACAAACAAACACCAAATAAAATATAACCGCCGCAAACAAGACAAACACCCTTTACAGGTGTGAAATAAACACCGGTGAGGACAACGAACTGGACAATACCCTGATCAATGACGCAATCAAGAAAACGCACATCCGTGTCAAATGACCCTGCAACCCGACACCATCAGCGTCCACCATCAGGGCACGAAATCCACCGGTCCATCAGGGCAGGGACTCCATCACTGGAACCTCAGGAAGACTGAAGAAAAGAACCTCAGAGCAGAGTTTAAAAAAACATCCAAATCCTCCGGATAAAGAAAAACAACACATCGTCGAAAATCGGTGAGAAAAGGAGTGTTTACTAAAGACCCGTGATCTCCTTCAACAGTTTTCGATGTTCTCTCCGTAGCTCGTGCAACTGGAGATTTCGCTGCTGAGCTTCCTGCAACGGCATGGAAGAAGTGATGCAAAAAACTACTACTGATACAATAGATATATCTATATAAATCCTGACGTAGATAGAACAAAACCAACGGATTCGATCACCCGATTTCAAAAAAAATACATTTTCTCTATATTCCCATGTTCTATCTACTCCTGAATAGGTATAGTATATGGACATCCCCAATGATCTAGTGTTCTGTGGCCCCACCATACAAAACAGCTGCTTTGCATCAACACTTGTTGTGTGCACAGCACATGTTGACTGGCAACCACAAGTGATACGTACGTCATATGTTTACAAGCAATGACAGTACATGTAGCTGATTGATCTTTATTCAGAAACAAACATGTGTACTTTTAAAGTCACCGCAATTGAGCAGCACATTTTATATAATAATTTTTAATAATCCGCCGACCCCGTTCTAGGGCCAAGAACGTGAGCGTGAGTGGAACGGAACGGGGCCGGCGTGCTCCTGAGAATTAGTCCCGTATATCTTGGCAATCAACCATCGCTTTGCGAGAAATTGCCCGTCTTTGACCAAATTTTCGACATTTCGTCCCAGGGTTTTGGAACTCTGTGGTGGTTCAATTCCCGCTTTGGCGCGCAGAATGTGGGGATTCCGCCTCATGGTACCGCGCGCGGCGCCGCACCACGCCACATTCAAAGCTCTCTCCTCCTGTCCTGCTCCTCTCTCCTGTTGTCTTCTGGCCTGCTCCTCCTCTCCTCCAGTCTTGAAATCCGCCACACCAATCCCAGCCTCATGGCTTCCACCGGCTTGCTCATCCACCGGCTTGCTCCTCCTGCGACCCTAACATGAACCACATCACACGTGCCCCACCCCTCAAAATCGCAGGCCGAAGGCCTCTACGTTCAGGTAGTAGAGGGTTTGCCGGGGTCCGCCCCCCGAGTCCCCGAGCTGGATCCTCGCAGGCCACTATGGAGAGCGTCGAGAGCAGCATTGGTGCGACCTGGGCTTGGATGGATCAATATAAAAAAATAAAACGGTGGATGCCCCCATGGCATCAGCATAGCAATTTTCAAGGGCCTGGTGTGCGAGATATGCTGCCCGAGTGGCCCTGCATTATCGGCATTTTGTGTTTGTTGTTGCTTTTCTGCTCAACCTCTTCCGGACAAAGAGCACACAACATAATAACAACAAACAAAATAACAACAACCACATCAACAGCAACAGCAGCAACAAGAAAACCAACAACCAGCAACCAGCAGACACAACCACAACCACAACCACAACAACAACAACAATCCCTCCTTCCACTTTCTTTGCTCTTCCCCCTTCCCCTGTTTTGCCCGCCTGGCCGGCTGTTGGGCGTCAGCCCTTAAATATCTCTGAATAATCCGACACTGAGTGCTTTTGAAAGGCTTCCCTGTCAGCTGCGAAGCTGAAACACCCTACTGTACCAAACAATCGGCAAAGTGCACTTGGAGTCTACTGATTGATTATTGCTGACAACCCAATCCAATGAACAAGCAATGCTGCTAACAATCCCGTCCTGAAGAAGCCTCAAAAAAAAATGCTAGAAATTAAGGATTTCTTCACGCTTCATCTCAATCTTCACCCTATTCCCACAGACACAGGCGGCCAAATACCGACAGAAAAGGAGACACACATTGGTCAATTGCAACGCAAAATAAAGCAACAGGGACCCGCTCCTGAGCCAAAAGATCCTGACGCTTCTCAAGAGCTTGTTGCTGCGTGGCTAAGCCGTGGAGACTGGAGCCATGCTCTTCCAACAGCGCCTCTGGCGTGCGAAGAGCACGCGGCATGTCCAAGGCATCTTTGGGACCACTTCTTTGGTACTGCGAAGTTGCCATGAATTGGTCATCTCACCGTGCGAGAGATGAGCGGGTTCTTTCAGCGGTGATTGAGAAGGGATGAGTCACAACAAACCAGGAAAATGCCAGCACAAGTTGCGGTGGATCCAACACGTGCCGATATGCTGGACACACCCCGCACCAAAAATGAGTGAACATTTGTTTAGGAAGGTTTTGAACAGCCTTGAGCAACAACAGGGTGATTGCAGTCCCCAATTGGCAAATTTGAGAAACTGCCTTGCATGTGGCACCGGTCTGGCGGTTGCAGTCCTGGGGGGCACTGGGGGGCACTCACCTTCCTCTGGTCTGGCGGGGGAGGTGAGTGTTGGGGCCCCAAGAGAGGATTGAATTCAGGTTTATGCACTGATGGTGCTTGGTTTTTGGACAAACTTGCTGCAACGCGTGAAAAAAGATCGGTGGCTGTGCTTAGATATGAAGATTGTCCTCTGAATAACTCTGTCATATATATATATATATATGTATTGTTGTTTGACAAAGATGCTTTTGGTGCCTTACTCTTACCTTTGCCTTTTTACTTTGCTATTTCATCTTCAAGTTTATGCCTACGGGTGTAAAACCGAACGTGTGAGTACTGCGATTTTTGAAGTTGATGCTACGTGAAAGGTGGGGGGGTTGGGTTGGGGTGGGATCGGGCATATTGACGTTCGTTTGCACTTGCTTTCTGAAGTTGATGCTATGTGAAAGGTGGGGGGGTGGGGTGGGGTGGGATGGGGCATATTGACGTTCGTTTGCACTTGCTTCCTGAAGTTGATGCTACCTGACAGGTCGGGTGGGCTGATGTGGACAACAGTGTGGACAACTATTTATACCAAGGTTATCTTCGGTTTCATAGCATTGTCCTCGGTTTCATAACATTGTCATCGTTTTAATAGCATTGTCATCGGTTTGCCAACATTGTCATCGGCTTCATAACATTGTCATCGATTAGTCGTGTGATTTAAATGGGGTGGGGGGGGGTTGTGATGGAATGAGGATGTGGATGCTTGTCATCGATTTCACAATAAGTAATCTTCGGTTTCATAACATTGTCATCGATTAGTCGTGTGATTAAAATGGGGTGGGGGGGTGGGGGGGGTTGTGATGGAATGAGGATGTGGATGTCATGCTGAGAACATTGTCATCGGCTTTACGATAAGTAATCTTCTGTCTCATAGCATTGTCATCGGTTTCACAACATTAGATATCGACGGTTGCATAACATTGTCATCCTTTTCATAACACTGTCATCGATTTCATCGATTTTCGTTTCTCTGTCGAACACACGTACAATTGCATATCACACGGGGCGAGCGTAATACATGTTGGAAGCTTACAAATTTATTTGTTTCCGTGTCTTTGCCGCATTCCGCAGCGGAGCAAGTGCCCGGGACAACAACGGCGACGGATTTTGCGCTGGCGCTTGGGTTTCGGCAGATTCGGCTCTAAAAATGAAAGGATCCGGGACCCCCAAAAAACATCATCGAACAAGCAAAAGTATTGAGAGGGTTTGCACTTTTGAATCAACATTTGCACGACTACACGTGCGATTCCACACCCGGCGAGAAGTTTATCTATTCTTTCCATTTGCTCTTGGACTGTTTTCCATAAGGCTGCTGTCATTCTACCATAACTGACCCATATTATGTACCTTATTTTTATCCCCTTTCATGTAGCATTTCCTTGCCTTAATCGTTTTCACTAACTAACTGCATTCTGTTTCAACATCTCTATTTGCTATTTAGAAACTGATACCGTTTATTTTTCATGGTGCTAATTCTAATGGTGTAAGTTCAGAGGTTGAATATATGAGATATGACTACATGAATTCTGTTTTAAACATTGTTTCAGGCATTGCTTTTTCTGGTGGTTTGATTTCTAATATTTATAATACTACAGATAATGTAAATCTGCTAATACAAAGGAATGGAGTAGATTACATAACCCTAACTAAATTAGATATAATTGATTTAGAGAAGCAAACATATATAAAAGCAAATGGTTTAGCGCTAACCATTGAAGATACTGTAGATGGATACTTTAAAGTTGGTGATGGTGAAAGTATTGATTGTTGGACTGGAGGAGTAGGTCAAGAGATGCAGTTGAACTATATTTCTAAAAGCGGTGTAAGGATGGGCAATACTGGTTATTTAGCAATCAGTGGATTAAGAAATGGAACAGATATACTAATTATCAATGGTGCTATTCAAATATGTCCTGCGGATCGAGAGGGGGGGGGCCCGGGGGGCCCCAGCAAGGGGGGGGGGGGGGCCAAAAAAAAAACAGCAACAAAACATGCTTTGTTGCTTTCTTTTTTTTTCCGTCCGAGGGCTCCAAACCTGCTAGTCTTAGTTATATTTAATAGTTTTTAAACACAATTTGATTGGTTTGTTTGAAATATAGAATGTACATGTTGTTTTCCTATATGTCTCGAAAAGATGTGTTGAATATGTGTTTATTAATTATTTTGTTGTGCTATGTGTTTTGGATACTGTTTTTGTTTTGCTGAATGTCTGTGTTTTCACTATATCTTTAGTTCTTTTGAATCACGACCTACAAAGCGATTGGTTCCTTCTCCATGCCAAAGGACTCACAACCAAGTGAGTCACTACACTGCCAGTAGTGGCACAGCGACATCCTCAGGCTACCTTGCATCATGATGACACCAGTTTCCTTTGGTGGCAAATGGGGTTCAGTTTGTCCATCATCGGCATGAACCACATGGACAGCAAGCTGCTGGTTCTAACCCTGAAAGGCAAAATACTACACCGCCATTATCAAACAACAAAGCAAAACCTGCGTTGCTCATTGACAGGATGCAGCCCACCTGACAACCATGTGATTTTGGCACGATTGCAGCGTATCAGGTGCCGTAATTGCTAATTCCTACATGTTCTCAGGTGACAACACAAAACCTGGACCATCACATTGTGATCTGTACCAACAATTTCTATTATATAGTGTTCACATCGCAACAATAAACCATGAAACAGTTATAAACCTCAAACGTCCGGCCACCGAAACCGTGCACTATTATATATTGTCCATAAAAACATTTTTCAGTAGGTGGACAATAGAGAAGGCGTCAATTATAGACACCAAAAATACAGTTATTAACTAAATTGTGCCAATTCAAAATATACTGTAATACTATCATACATTAAGAACAAAAAACACACCAAACACACGGTTTGAGCAAGAACACCCTCCTTATGGATGCAAAAACTCAACTGTTTGCTTGCGCATGTACTCCAACTTAAAACTGCTTTACTTCCAGTATAGCATTTTCGTACGGACGCGTAAGATGGAAGAAACTGGTTGTCATAATTTCATAATTGAAAGTGTGCCCGGTTTTGAGCACCCGGCCAGTTCAAATACAAGCTGGCTCACAAACCCGGGCAAACAAATAGAAGAAATTATTTGAGACAACCGTGGCGGTTTCCATGTTGACAGTTTCTCCTGTTTGAAACCATGGCCCAACTTGCCCTGAATGACTGTCTTCTATTTGGCAATATCGTGTCCCATCTTCTATCCTTCCCGTTTGTGCTTTATACACTGCTGATAACCTCACCAAGGAAGTCTGTATGTTGCATATACACTTGCATACATTATGGCAGTCTATCTGGCATATATCCTGGCATTCTATGTGGCATATATCCTGGCATTCTATGTGGCATATTTTCTGACATTCTTATTTCTTATTGACGTATATTCAGGCATTTTTCTGGCATGTATTCTGACATTATATCTGCCATGTATTTATTATGGCGTGCTATCTGGTAAAGAATCTGACATAATTCCGGCACATATTCTGGCATTCTATCTGGCAAACATCCTTGCATTCTATGTGGCATATATGCTTCCATTCTTTGTGTTCTGACATACTTTCAGATAGTATATCTAACATATTCTTGCATATTTGCTGACATTGGCATTCCTTCTATGTGGTTCAGGTCTGGTCGTGCCCACTGCCATTTGGCGCTCGTGGTTCAGGCCCGGTGGTGTCCAGAGCAGTCTAGCACTCGCGGTTGAGTGTGCGGGGGCCCACTGCGATCTAGGCGCTCGCGGCTAAGGTCCAGTGGTGCCCACTGCGAGCTGACACTACTCGTGGTTGAGATCCGGTGGTGCCCACGTGATCTGGTACTTGTGGAGGAGGGGGAGAGGAGGGAGAGGAGGGAGAGGAGGCGGAGGAGGAGGAAGGGAGGACAGCTCTGATACAATCCAAACACCCTCACCTGGCAGGTGGGGAAAATAACTTGAAAACACATAACTCGATGATGGTTCCCACCATTCTACTTCCAAAAGCTGTTTACACAACACCACTGCATGTTCGATGTACGTGCGTGTTTAAAAATACCTCGCGTGTTGTTAGAGCCTGTGTGTATACGAAAACACACGTGTTTTCCCAACTTGGATTGCAATTGCGATCATCTTGGACATCCTTCACTTGGCATCCTTTTAGTTTGGGTCCCATCTCTTTTCCCCGTAGCCGCTCCTGCTCCTTTGTTCTCAGAACATCACCGGTACGTGATCTAACTGCGAAAGACCTTCCGTCGGTAAGTCAACCAAGGTATCGGGTGCCATGACCCACAGCCATATTAAAAGGGGCTGTGGGTTGCAAAGGGTCTGGGCAGTAGAAGACCAAAAAACCCTTGGCCATCCAATCCCAAAGCTATCCAAACTTTTAAGCTTGTTTCCCACCTCGACATTGCTCCTGGAACACATGGCGGAAATCAAGGGCAAGCAACTTCGATGTGATGCACCGCCCGTGTGGCAGCGGTGTATTTATATAGTCCAATGAGTCCAAGTTAAGCAGAAGCACCTTGCCAAAATGGATCCTGTCTAAGGGCAAGATTCTGAACATGGAGGCTCTGCCACAAGCTGGTGCCCGCCATCAAGAAGAGCGTTCAAAGTTATCCAAATTACGGCGAGCCACGGTCGGGTAAGAAATATCGATCCAAAAGTGAATCCACCATCATCCACCCTTGAATGAATAAGGAAGTGCGTGCATCCGTTTTGAGTCCATGTTCCTCCATGTTCTATGAAGTGAATCCATGTTGAGAAAGCAAATCCATTTCTGTTTCGTCACAAATGTCCTTGGTGCCATGTTTACGCATAGGCTTTGCTGAAGCCACATCGGATCATTGTATGCGAAGTGTCGGCTTCGAAGCACCCTTGAGCATGTGGCGTATTAGTGGAACCTATATTTTAACACAGTCCTTCATACAAAATCTCATGCATCAAACAGGTTTCTTTTCAATCAAAACTTGAAACATTCTGAGCTGCTGAGCTGGTGTGTTTGGCTCGCTCCCCGGAAGGGAACGAAACAAGTTGCTCCCTCATGTCTGAGTTTCAGAATTGCTAGTCTCCACTTAGCCCATTCATTGAGAGAAGACTGAGAAGACTATATATTTAATATGGAAAGAACTGGAAAGAATGAATCACTGTATATACAAATCTACTAAACACATCTTCCTTCCTGGGGACCTCCCGTTGTAGACTCTGGTTGGTCCACCCGGGAAAAGACCCACATGGAACCTCATAGCATGGACCAGACTGGAAGACAATTTTCCTTTAGGGGGTTTAGAGGTTCCATGTGAATCCTCCAGGGTGTCTAAAAAACAAACATTGTGGATTGTAAAACCATGTAAAACATTTTATGATCCTATATGATTTTATGAGTCGAATGGTTTTTCAACGTTTTTCATGGCTACTATATAGTAGCAAGGTGCATGGCTACTGGGAGCAAGGACGCTACTAGTAGCTCCTGGCATTACTACTAGGAGCAAATAGCTACTAGTAGCTTCTTGTTACTAGTAGCTATGCACTTGTTACTAGTAATATCTTTGGCATTTGTGAGGTCAAAGTTTTTCCCTCAAATCTTCACCAACTGCTGCGATCCGACGGGACTGGTTTTCCGATTGGCCACCCGAGTGGATGGCCCCGATCGCGACCACCAAAAAACTGATCGGGGTCAGCCAATCCCATGGAGTGTCCGGGTCACATACCCTCTGAGGTGAGTCCGGATGCAACGGGAAATCTTGGGGCTATGCTTGAAGGGTCCAAGTACCTCAGCAAAAAATGTAGATTTCAAGCGATATAGTTATTTCCTGAGCTCTAAAGCAGTAAATGTCCAGTCTTGTGAGTGGGCTGACAGGATGTGATCCAACTCATGCAGTCAAGGCAATAACCACTTGTCTTTATCCCCCAAAAAATTAGGGATGCCCAAGCCTATTTCCCTTGGTTCTAGGTTTCTTGGATCTTTCCATCATGCTGTACTCTTCAGCATAAGGGTTGCTTGGGCACACCACGCATTTGCAAGGCTTGAATCCTGAAACACAAACAGTGGTTTCGGAGTAGATGGCACAAACCCCTGACACGTCTTTTGCTTTTTGGTCCATTGGTCATTCACCTTGGTCCAAACTTGGATATTCGTGCCATCTACATCATCTACTCCTCACCCACTAGATGTCTTGATCAGCTAACCAACTTCCGCCCTTCCCCTCCTCCCGGACATCCACATGTCGATGAGTTCAGATTCTTCGGGGGGGGCATCTGAGTGAAATGGCAGGCTGGGGCGGTGCCCAACACGGTGGTCATAGCGTCATCTTTAAACATCTTCCAGTGGTGCAAGATTTTAAGGTGTAATGACCAGAATAGGAGCCTCGTGGAGCCTCCAAGCACGGGTATATACTGGTTGATTGGTTCTTCCAACCAGTGGAGGTCTTCTTTTTTGATGTCAACACACGGCCATCTTGACGAATGCATCCTCCATGGATCGCAGCACGAGTCAGGTAGAAACTGCGCGGTTGAGCACTGCGCATACCTAGCTGCCTCAAGAAATGCAAATCGGAACATGGTGATCAACACAGGTTTTGAAAGGACTTAGCCCATGACTAGACTAGCGACCCGCTAGCTGCTAGAACTTGCTCAACCCGCATTGATCAACACACATCAACACACTGGATGAGGCTGGATGCACAAGCTGAGGCATTTTGCGCAAGCTGCTGCCCTCTCTACGATGCCCAAGTCAGTACGATGTACGATGCACTGAGGGCAAACCTGGAGAAACAACATGAAACCGAGCAACGCTGATGGAACTCATGAACGAATGCTCTCTTCTTAAAAAAAAAAAAAACAAAACAGACACCTCCAGTGTCCTTTCTGACTAAGAAAAATAACTACTCTGCCTTCTTCTAGCTGGTCACCGTTGCCCTGGGCATCTTCGAATGCATCTCGCAGAACATAACTCGAGTCCATGTTTGCGGTTCGAAGGCGTATTCGAGTCCGTTGCAGCCGCATTCGACGCAGAATCGTTGGCATTGGACTAGGGAGACCTCCCAGTTCGACCCCCAGGAAGAAGGGAAATAGACCAAAACACCCATTGGGGGTCTCCCTATTGAAATACACACCCATAACTCCCCAGGCGCAGCATCCACCATGGTCCGTCGCGTCCACCTCTCAAGCGTCCGCTGCGTCGGCATCGAAGGTGACGTACTTTCCATGTTTGTCCTCCGCGACTCCGCTTGGCAACAGGACGGTACGAGTTGCTTAAGGAACCGGGAAACATACTGCTCTCTTCCCAAGTGGACTCATCCGGGAAAAATCATCACCTTTGTAAAGCAAAACCAGGAACAGCAAGGTGGTCATCAAAATTCATCAAGCATGGGCAAGCCACAGTTCTCATCAGTTCTCAATGACCGCCATCTGCGACCCGGGATTCCTTTACCCACCGATCCCGGTACGGTCCTTGGGTGAAATCAGAACCCGACTTTATCCCACCAGACCGGCCAACCGGTGGTCCTTGGGAACTTTGGGAAGCAATTGCGTGACTGTAGGATTAAGAGCCTCGCGAGAGGTGTCGAGGCGTGGAAGGAGGTGTGGAAGGTGGCACGCCCTGTGGGGTAACATGACCTGAAACGAAGGCCAAAAGGGTACTGGAGGTTGACTATTGGTCAAAAGAATGTGTGTTTGTTTGAATATGTCACTCTCTATATATATATATAAATATAAAGATATGTATGTATTAACATGTACATATATAAAACTGCTGTAATTTGCAGTCCCTCCCTCTTCATATATGAACATATATATATATATATGTATGATCTTATTGTAAAATATTGTATATACACATTGAATAACGCCATACAAAGCCAGAGCAGCCACTCAACAGCCATAACCATGACCTTCCATTTCCAGCCAAAACCACTGGGCTGAACAGTCATGGGTCACAAACGGAATCCAACGGCTACTTCCTTCCGGTCGTGCGCTGGGCGTGTGCGCGGAAGCATGAAGCAGCCAGTTGGCTCACGACAAACTTTCGGAAATGGCTTCAACTATCTTCAACTCAAAACCCTTGAACTCTGGTGCTAAGTTCAGAGTATATATATATATAACTGATCAATGTGAAGCTCCCAAGAACTGATTAACGACCTTGGGTGCAAAGCCACCACAAGTACGAGTTGTGAACGAGTTGTGCACAACGCGCATACAGTTCGACTCCTTGTCTGGACGTTCTTGGTTGTTCAATGAGTATTTAAACTGTTTGCTAGCTGCTAGCTCATGTGTTTTCTTATACCTGCCAGTAGAGTGGACATTGAGACAAGCTCAAGCCCAGTTTGAGTTGGAATCGCTATACAAATATCCCAAGCATTCCATGACTCCATGTATGAAAGATTTACGTTAGGGTTGTTTCAGGGATAAGTAGGCGTAACAAAAACCTTGCACGGAGTGTCTGGGTAGTTCACAAATGCACCAGCACTACCAGCACCTTGCCGTGTTCATGGCTTGTTATCCCACCAAAAGCATCCTTTTCAGCGACAAACAAATGGTTGCGCCGTTCTCAGACGACCTTTTGCCCTTCGCCGAGAACATCACCCTTCGCCTCCTCTCGGTCGCCCAACTAACCAACGACCCGTCACCAACCCCATCGTCCTCCACCACCGAATAACATACAAAGAAACAACAAAAAACAAAACAAAGTAGAGGGTCTGCTGGACATGGAACATAGGTCCGAACTTGTTGCTTTCCCCTATCAGAATTAAAAATACACATCCAAAAAAAAGAAAAACTGCAGACCCCATGGCCAGAGAGTCAAACAGGAGAGAGGCCCCAATGTGGTTTGCAGTCTTTTTTTTGGTAGGGAAAACCAAAAGACAAACAAAACTGCAGACCCCATGGCCAGAGAGTCACATAGGAGAGAGGCCCCAATGGGGTCTGCAGTTTTATTTTTACTTTTTGTTGTTGTCGTTGTTGTTGCTTTTTGGGGGGGTTTGTGATGGAACACACAAAACAAAACAAAACTGCAAACCCCATGGCCAGGGAGTCAGGCAGGAGAGAGGCCCTAATGGGGTCTGCAGTATCGTTTTTTTTTGATTTCTCAAGGTTTTGTTTGGACCTTGAAATTACTCTTTTATTAAAGCAGATTTTTGAGGTGTTCCATCGTTTTTGTGACTTGCATTGATTTGATTGTAAGCAAATACTCACAAGTGCTTACGGCTCAGGACGATGCTCTGAGCACGCTGGTGGTAACGTGTTCTGACAAACCTCGCCCAAACCTCCTGCGACCGCCCAGGGTCAGGTCCGCACCTCTCTTTTGGGGTAATGCAGGCTGAGATCATTGAGGTTCTCGCTGGCGTAGGGGTCCGGCCTTACCAGCTGGAGCTTGATGAGAATGCTAAGCAAGCTTGACACCCTTTTCCCCCACCTGTTGGGGCGTAGAATCACACAGAAACAATATTGGAGAGTGCCGAGCCACTGTGGGAATTTGCCCAGTTCTCGAACTGGGCCAATTCCTTGCCGAACTGTGACCTACTCGAGGGGCCGAACTGTGTTGGAAATAGTTCAACTAGACTCGTTCGGCCAATAGTCCAGCAACTGCCTCGTTCATCTCCGGTGGCTTCGTGGACATGCCGAGTCGACGGGAGTCAGTTCTCGGACCGTCGACTCGTCTTCGTGCACGTCTTCGTGCAGCGGACGTCCTTAACGGCACGAGCACGGCAAGTCAGGTCAATAACGCGCGAGG